CTCTCCAGCTGACTGGCAGGGTCACCTAGTACACTTACTACTTCTCTAAGGTCCAGTTTCCTTCTCTGGAAAGTAGGGGTAATAATAGTCCTTATAATTTTATCATTATGATGATTATGGTGGATGGAACCAGTACCTGGCTACACAGACAATACAAAGTTAGTTTTGTTATTTTTATTTGTTCTTCAGTTTAATTTTAGAATTATCAAAGTCCAAAAAAATTCATTATCATGTTTATGATTGAATCTTCTCCTCTAGAAAATAACATTCTAGACTCCATTTACTTGTTTTATTTTATATCTCTTCTCTGAGTATTGGGATAATCCTCAGAAATACTCAGCATTTCTTCACTGAACATTTCTTGCATAGTCAGAAATACACGAATTCAGAATGGTTCCAGTGCCCCTGTATTCTGCTGCTCCATGCTTCAGACTCAAGGGCAGGCCCTGTTAGAGAGTATGCTCTACATATTACAGATGTATATTGGCAAATAAATTGTTTTTAAACAAAATGTGTTGTTAGCTAGGGAAATTGACTTAGGGAGAATTGGACAGGATCTTGAAGAAAAACAATTTTAAGTGGGTGACTGAAGTGACCTCCTGAAAATGTGTGTGTGTGGGCTCTGTGAAATCTGTTTCTTTCCACAATCCTCTTTCCTTCTGAAGTCTAAATTTTTGTGGAGTCCTTAAAAATATCTGGACTTGATCTCAGAAGATAACCTACCATGCATATTTACAGGATTGGAGAAGTTGAACAAATGAAGACCATGTTTAAATTTTAACTGGACCCAGATGGAAGCTTCTGGATTTCTAGGTTTTAGAAGACCTAAGACCATGAAGGAAAGTGTTGAAATTTATTTAAATAGGAGGAAAGAATGAGACTCTGACCTACAGGTCGGCCTTTCCTCTGATGCTCCTACAATGTTGGAAGGCAAGGGATGTGACTGAGACAGAGAACAAAGGTTGACACACGGGGGAAATACTGAGAACATAACACACAGATCACATTTTCCTCTCACACTCTTGCTGTGTTAGAAGCCAAAGTGTCTGTTTGAGATTCCAGGGAACAAAGGCATCATGTCATGATGAGAACATTTCTGATCAAGGCAAAGCCTGCCCCAGGTCAGAGGCCCCCTGCCCAAGGCCCAGCCCTGGCTCCCACCCACCACTGTTGCTGACCCTGGTCTTTTCTATTGTGACTTCTGCTGCCTGCTTACTGTGTTCTTGGTGGCTACATATGAGTCATCTCACTGTCCATAGAAACCTGACCCCATGAGGCCTCTCAGAGTCCACTGCGGACCAGTGTTGACTTCAAGGGCGGCATGAAGCAATGTTGTTTTCTATGATAAAATCAACTTGTTTCCCTCTGATACATGGACAACGATTGGTTGAATATATAGAAAGAACATACAGAAAAGTGGATGCTTCATCTGATTTGACTAGGGAAGGTGTGCTTTTAAGAACTGTGGAACAATCTCTAAGATAGGAAGCTTCCTCTGATAATGGACACCCAAGAGATACAGCAGAAGTGGCTTCCTGACAACACAGATAGCAAAAAGCCTATTAAGCAGCAGAAATAGAATTTTTGACTACTTTGTAAGGGAAATACAATGCAAAACCCCCATGGAAATCCAAAGTCATTTCTGGTCAGATCCAAGTCTGCAATGACTCCTGACTTCTACCTCCTTGTTGATAGACCCATAGAACAAATAGTTACAGACATATTCTTATCAACTATTAGCTATCTTATGGTTGCGTATCGCTGTCTAACAAAGTACTCTAACGTGGTAGATTTTCTGAGGGTCGGGAATCTGAGAACTCCTTAGCTGAGTAGCTCTACTGCAGGATCTTCCATGCAGTTGCAGTTAACCTGTTGGTCAGAAGTTGTCATCTCTGAGGACTTGATGGGCACTGGAAGAGTTCCCTCCAAGCTCACACATGGGGCTTGCTAGCAGGAGGTATTGGTCCCTCTAAATTACTGAGGCATTTGTACTTAGTAAGCTTTTCCACTTTTCAAGAAACTCTACTCCTTGGGAGAGTAAAGAAACATGTCTTACCTATCCACATATTTGATGGGTTGTAGCAACCACATAATAGGTGAGAAGGTGCTAGAAGGGGGAAAAGATGCTCATGGGGAGGTGAAAGTGAACAAAGGCAAGTGTGACAGAGAAAAATGAATTTGCAGTTTACAGCCTCAACTTCTTCTGAAAGGGCTGCATCCTTTCTAGCTGCCTAGCATCTTGGTTGGGGAGGGGTGTGCCCATGTGGGGACAGCTCCAGGGAGATGTGAAAGGCCCCTAAGCACCTCTGAGAGGGAAGGACTGGTGATGGATGAGCTGGTGCAAGAGGGAAGGAAGGAGAGCACCCAGGTAGATGGCAGGAGGTCATGAGACCTTCCACGGGATGTGAAAATCTCAAGTTAGGTGTGCCGCATTTTAGAACAGTTCAGTGTAAATGGATTTCTCATGCAAATCGGAGAAGGGCTGAGTTCTGGGCTGCTGCCGAGCAGAATAGGGATGGCAGTTCTGGGCACAGAAGCCGGAGACAGAGAGGACTCAGGACAATGAGTCCCAGGAATTAGTAGACACCACGAAAAGGGCTCTGTGATGTTGTGTGGCTGTGGAATTGGTGTGTCTGAACCAATTATTCCTAATTCTCCAAGGAGTGAAGACAGCTAACTTCTTAGTTTTGATGATTCAGTGAGATTTTTTATGTTTAAAAGTTAGTTTTGCTTTGGGTGCAGAGCTAAGATGTCCTTTCCATGTGGGCAAGCACACAAGCACTTGTACACATGTGCATGCGCACACACACACACACACACACACACACACACACACACACACACACTGTTCTTCCAGCAGCACTACCCTGTTGTTCTCATTTCAGATGAACAAGTTTGGCCAGCTTGGATCTTTCCTTTCATGCCATTAAATGGTGAGTTGTCAGAGATATTGCTGTTCTCCCAGGAAGAACTGCCTCCATCAGATCTGGAGCTCTTTTGTTTAGAGTCACTTCCAAGGGTACAGTCATTTTCAGTGGGCGTCGCCTGGGGACACACTTGGGGTGTGCAGCTTAAGACCTTCAGGTATGGAGAGATCCTCAAATGGCCCCGCTTGTTCCCTCCCAGGCCTCCCGGGTCTCTCCCAGCCAGTTGGATGTATCAGCAGGAATCTCTGAATTCCACACTTTCCAGAGCCCACGCAGATAGACAGATTATTCAGGAGAAGCTTCCTGAGGCCGCCCATGGCTGCTGAGGTCCCTCTATTTTCCTTCACATGTTACCTTATTTATTACTAAATAGATGCTGGCCTCCCTGGACTTCACAGAATATCTTGAACTATTGATGGAAACATTAAAAATGCCATTACCCATCTTCATAACACTCAGGTACATAACTGCCAATGCTGAAAGCACTTTGAAAGGTAAATTCCATAACAGAGTTAGCCCAAGTTTCTAAATACTGCTGCCTTAACTCTCATATGATGCTAAAGGATATCAAAAGATTTGGAGTTAAGACAGGACCACAGCTCAACCATGCCAGAAAGATATTTAAAATTTCACTCTTGAATGAAGACATCTTTATAGCTTTCAACAACCTAACTTAATTTAAAAACATATTGATATGGTTGCGTATTTCTGTATAGTTTAAGTTCAAAATTTTCAGATTTGTATAATGCTACCTTTCTCCCTGCCCCCACTTTTTTTTTCATAAAGTTCAAGTTCTTCGAGGTCAGGAATGAATGTCCTGCTTCTCTTAGATCTCTCACAGTGCCTGACACAATGTTGGCATATCAATAAGTTCTGTTTTGCCCATTATTTAAGTGTATTTTCTCCAGATCTTTAGCAGTGGAGAAGAAATAGCAGGTGACCTCATGTAAAAATATGTTTCAGATAAAGATTGTATGGTGTGTATCTAGATTCTGCTATAGATTTTCATCTTTTATGAACAGTGGCCCAATGAAGAAGGAGATGTGATTTGGCTCTTGTGGTGAGACCTGGGTCTGGAAGCAAGAATGAAAGGAAATTAAATGTTGGAGGTTTTGTTTTTTCAGTTTATTATGGTGGGCAGAATAGATTGAGTGTGGGCTAGGGCAGAAAGCCACTGGCATTCATGACTCCGGTTCACCCCTTCCATAGATTGTTCATTTCATACTGATAACAACACCTTTTGCACAGACGATGTAGAGTGGTTAGGGCATTTGCCCACTGCCATGCTGCTACTGAGAGGAAAACCAGGTTGTAACGAAAGTTCATACCATTTCTACTATATTAGATTTCTTTGGCAAATGGCACACCCTGATTATTCAAAACTCACCAACATTTTGAAAAAGGAAATCACAGGGATGATTGCAGTTGGTTTATCCAGAATTCTAATAATTCTGGACACAGCGTGTGTCCATAAATCTGTATGAATTAGAACCATCCAAGGCAGGTCATCTGGTGGCACATGGGAAGTCTAGTTACAGGGGCTTTGGATCCTGGCTTTACCTTGCAGCAGCTGTCACCTTGCGCCAGGTAATTCATCAACCTCTCTGAGCCCCGCTGAGCCTCTGAGGAGTGTGTGTGATGACATGGACAGACCCCTGCACACAGAGCCTGGCATACACTTGGGCACCAGCATGTGTCAGAGTTCTCAACACACTGACATGGAGACACCCACAGTCAAATGTGCTGCAGAAATGTGCCCCATTGCCCTTACAGCCACTGCTTTCAGAAAGTTAGTTCCCAACCCACTCGAAGGGCCCTGAGTGACCTGTCACCTAGATGAAGTTGGGAGGTTTTACTGAGAAAGTCACCCACAGGGACATAAAACATCATTAAGATGAAATGTGACCATGTAGGGAGATAACATTAAAATTGGAAGCAGAGTTTCATCAGAGATCTTTCAAATAGAGAATGCGGTGAGCCTGAAGCTGCCATTTGTTAACAGTACAGGTCATCAGTATTAGCTATCAGCAGTCTTTTCCTCTCTTAACTGATAAGGAAAATGAGAAGTCTTTAAAGAAAGCAGGCTAGTATCTAGCAGAGAGCTATTAGAGAAATAGGATTTTTAGAGTTAATAAACTCACTTGGTGGGACGTTGAGGAGGAAGGAGCTCAAGTGCACCTGGCTGATGGTAAGTGCCTTTGGGAGGGGTATTTCAAAAATACTTTTATCTCAAAGGGAATGGGGAATTAAAACAACAAAAATGTAAGTTAAAAATATTAATTGCTATCAGTTTTCTGTCTATGAAAAAAATAGTGTTACCACTGGGAAAACCAAGTGAGACTGGTGAAAGCCCCTGGAAGTCTAGTTGGTATAATGTGGAACTGTGGCCTCGGCTGTTGGAAAATGTCTGGTGAAGCATGAGAAAGGAAGGGGGACTTGCAGTGTACATAAAGACTGCTCGCTTTCCAGAATCATCCTCACTACAATCCACTAAAATCCAAAGGTGGAGTCTGCTCGGATGGTGGAGAAGGGAAGAGGATTTAGGGAGTAAGGAGCTGCCTGGCAAGGGGCCAAGGGAGAGGAATGTGCTGCGAGGGAGAGGAGGGAGTCGGGTGGAGAAGGAGAGTGATGACTATGTGGCAGTGGGCTGGCGAGGGCCAGGCGGTGGGCAGGGGGCGGGCAGGGAATAAATACCTGGCCTGCGGTCACACCTGCCATGGGCACTGGTGTTGCCCCTGTGGCCAATGGTTCCATTCTGTTCCTCTCACCTGATGAAGTGTGCGCGGTCACACACGGCAGAGTGGTTCTCCAAAGCTCCACCCAGAGTGTCAGCGTTTCCTGATGATTTTCTCCTGAGTGGAGAAATGGGAACCCCAGCTTCAACAGTTTTTTTCACTAGCTCTTGAGTCAAACTGTTCTTGTGTCATCACCCCCCAAATCTCAGTGTGGACATTGTTACCCCATTTCTGATGTTTTATGTATAGAATCTAAGACAGAAAGCTCTGGGTTTATGCAGAACTGCATCCAATCCCTGCTCTTACACTAATTTGATGTAGGACTCTCAGCAACTCATCTAACCTGGTTAATTCTTGTATTCCTTACCTATAAAGACAGCATATTAGTACTAATACCAAGCTCAAAGGGTGATTTCTAAAGATTAAATGGTTGTGAAATATGGAGTGTTGTACTTAGCTGGCAGTAAAAGCCTCCTAATATCAGCCCTTGTTGTCATGATTTTTTCCTTTGCTGCCCTGGGACCTCTTATCTCTGTGCCCTGCAGACAGGCTGTCTTGGTTGCTGATTCGAACTTTACAGAATTGCCAGCAGACTATCAGGTTCTTTCTGTTATTGAAAAGATTTTTTAGATGATGAGATTTGTTCCAAAGTGTTTTCCAAACTGGATGCTTCTGTGTTTAGAGATGTGGACCAATAGCTCAAGCAGACCTGGGCTGTTTTTGGTCCTCAGATCTCTGCTTTTCCAGTAGGAGAACTCTTCATTGATGTCCTTCAAAATACTGTCCTATGAGTATGGGGGTCTTTACTTCTCTGCTCACCCCTCTACACTGCCCAGTTTTCTGAGTGCAGAGACAGACAGCTGCAAAGGAAAGGGTCTCCAGAGTTTTGGGTAACATTGATATCCCGGGGCAAAGGCATTGTAGTGGGCGGGAGACAATGCAGTCATCTCCCAGCAGTGGTGCTGCTAAAACCATGAGAGAGCAGTGCGCACGTATGTGTGTGTGTGTGTGTGTGTGTGTGTACACGTGCATGTAATAGGGTCTAACTCAGGATGGAAGGAAGAGTCCCTCTGGTCTGTAACAAAACTCTGACAACAACCAAGTCCAGTTTCCAGAAAGAGGAAAGGGGTAAGGGCTAGGCAGGTTGTCTGGATTCTAATCAGGGGCAAAAAAATTATTTTATTGTGGTAAAAACCCTTAACATGAGATCTACTATCTTAGCACATTTTTAAGTATAATCCAGTATTGTAAACTACAGGCACAATATTGCACAGCAGATATCTAGAAATATTCATCTTGCTTAACTGAAAATTGATGTTTCTTGATTACCTCCCCAACCCCTCCTTCAGTCCCTGGAAACCACCATTCCATTCTTTGATGCTGTGCATTTAACTATTTTCTGATACTTCATATAAGTGGAATCGTGCGGTATTTGTTCTGTTGCGACTGGCTTATTTCATTTAGCATAATGTCCTCAAGGTTTAGGCTAAGTAGTATTCCAATATACATATGTGTATGCTACACTTGCTTTCTTTATTCATCTCTCCTGGATTTAGGTTGTTTCCACATTTTGGCTATTGTGAATAGTCCTGCAATGAACATGGGAGTGCTGAGATCTCTTTAAGATTTGTATATAAATTCTTTTGGATATTTACCCAGAAATGAGATTGCTGGATCATAAAGTAGTTCTATTTATAACTTTTTGGTAACCTTATAATATTTTCCATAGCATTTTGCATTCCCACCAACAGTGTACATGGGTTACAATTTCCCCACATCCTTGTCGAAACTTGTTATCTGTTGTTTCTTTGATAATAGCCATCCTTTAGGTATGACGTGATATCTCATTGTGGTTTTGATTTGCATTTCCCTGATGATTAGTGATGTTGAGCATCTTTTCATATATTGTTCATTTGTATGTCATCTTTGGAGAAATTTCTATTCAAGTATTTAGCAAATGTATGCTATTGATTTGTGAGAGTTACTTACATATTTTGGGAATCAATTTCTCATCAAATACATAGTTTGCAAATATTTTCTTCTATTCCATAGGTTGCCTTTTTACTCTGTTGTTTCCTTTGCTATGCAGAAGCTTTTTAGTTTGATGTTGTCTCACAGTCTGTTTTTCTATGCTTTTGGTGTCATATCCACAAAATCTTGCTTCCACCCTCTTGGCCCCACTGTACCCCTCTGAGCACCCCAGGATGCGGGCTTATTCCTGGTTGTCTTCCCTACTCCTCATTCTCTCTGCCCACCCAAAAACCAATCAGCACTTCCTAAGGTCCTCTTCACCCTGGATTCTTAGTGGGTCAGAAAAAAGCAGGCCCTCTTACTTGAAGCTTGACTTGACTGCACATTGGTAGTTGAATGTATCAACTCACCATCTGAGCAGTAAACGTAAAGGCTATAGAAATGAGCAGTGTCTTGAATCCCACATTTCCTTTGGCTTCACTACTTCACAGGAATGGTGAGCACAGAGGTAAAGGAAAAGGCTGCAGTTGTGAATTCCCTCATTGTTCTTCTCTTTAGGAGGAGGGCTTTGAAAAAATCTGGGCTGGAAAGCTCTAAATTGCTTTGTCTTCATTTCAGTTGTTTTTGAGCATTGTTTCCTGGAAATTTAAGCATTTTCCCCCAACCAGTCTCTGTTAGATCACTGCTGACATCGACACCAACTTTTAAAATACATCGGAGACATTACTTGTTGGAGGACTTTTCTAGTAAACTAGCTCCCATGCAAGTTGGTTAATCTTTTCAAAATGTGATCTTTATTAAGCTTCATAAAACTAAGACATTCTTAAATCATGGTGACCAAGCAGATGATCTTAGAATGTGCTTGGCTCCTGCTATCATTAAGGAGTATTTTGAGCAAATTTGGTGTTTCTTTCAAACATGGCTCCTTTTGGTTTTTTCCTTGTTCTGTTTTTGGTGTATGTTTGTTACCCCTTTAATTCTTTCTTCCTTTCAATCTGTCAGTGATGGTTTGTGTCTCTGGGTCAAATCCAGGGTTAATTTACCCACCTCCTATTTCTACTTCTACCTTCTTATTCTATCTTAATTTTTAATTGTAGTTGACATAGTATTATATCCATTTCAGTTGCACCACATAGTGATTTGATATTCATAGACACTACAAAATGCCCACTGTGATGAGTGTAGTTACCATCTGTTCGCCATACACAGTTATTATAATATTATTGACTCTATTCCCTTATGCTGCACTTGTCATCCCTGTGACTTATTTATTTTATAATAGAAAGTTTGTACCTCTTAGAACCCTTATTTCCACCTTCATAATGAAAGTGTCTTTCAATCTGACATTCTTGTAACTGAAAGGATTCAATTCAGTAAAACTATACTTATATGAAAAAGTTAATCCTGTTGTTGGACTTCATATCCGATTGACGTGCAATACATACTCTTCTCGGTTTGGCTTCTTTTGGTTAGCATAAGTGTACAGCTCAATACGTTTTGACAAATGTATACCCTATGAAACCATCGTCCCAATGAAGATATCATCCTGTAAGTTTTTCTCATGTTCCTTTACAGTTAATTGACCCCCCCATCTCCCATCGAGGTAATCAGTTATTAGCTTTGCAGTTTTAGAACAGTATGTAAATGGTATCATGTAGTGTATACTCTTTTACACCTGGCATCTTTCACTCAGCATAATGTTTCTGAAACTCACTCGTGCTGTGTGAATCAATAGTTTCTTCTTTTATATTGCTCAGTAGCATTCCATCAGATTAATGTAAAATCATTTATCCACATACACGTGGATGGTCATCAAGTTTCTATGAACATCTGTGTATGAATCTTTTTGTAGGCATAGTTTGTATTTTGGGGGGGGGTAAATCTACAGGAGAAGCATTCCTGGGTCACATGGTGAAAGTTTGTCAGAAATTATTAATCTATTTTCCAAAGTCATTTATCATTTACACTCCCACTAGTCACATATGGGAATTCTCACTGTAGCACATTCTTGTCTACATTTGGTATTGTCAGTCTTTGTAATAATAGCCAGGAATTAGATCTCTTTTTTGTTTTAATCATTTGCATTTCTCTAATAATCTTCTATGCATGTGTTAAGAATCTTTTTTATGCATGTATTAGCTATTGATATATTTTCTTTTGTGAAATCTTAGTTCAAATCTTCTGCTTGAAGATTATTACATGGACTATTTCATATTCATCTTGATTTGTAAGAGTTATTTATGAATTATAGATACAAGTCTTCCATTAGATGTATAAAAGTGTCTGAAGGTGGCTGGCCTATTCAGATTTTAATGACGTCTTTTGAAGAGCTGAAGTTCTTAATTTTGATGAAGTCCAAGTTATTTTTCTTTCATGATTTGTGATTTTTGTATCCAGTCTAAGAAATCTTTGCCTACAACAGGTAATGGAAATTTTCTACAATGTAATTTTCAACATATATGATTCATTTTGATTTTATTTT